GGCCTTCACAGCGTCCCGCTGGCCTTCACAGCGTCCCGCTGGCCTTCACAGCGTCCCGCTCTCTAATTTTACTAGGCGTATTAGCGGGGAGCGGGGCTTGGCCTGGCGCTTGGACGCGCAGGGTTAAGTTTGTTTTGTCCGTGTGTTGAGCCATCTCGGGCCATACACATGTTGAGACAAACTCACCCAATTCATTGGCAACAATTATTCAATCTCGAGTCACAATTTCAGCAGGAAATGAATGCAACCTTCAACTGGTCATGTGTTCATTTCTTATGGTTGACTTCGCCGAATGCCTACCAAACTGAAAGAAGCATTGGCCAGCAGGCCTGCGAGGGCATTGATTTGGCACTCTGGGGTTGCCGGGCCACCTGGGTACCACTGGGTTCCACGGAACAGAGACCATGACTGACCCAACTGAACCCTTGTCACTGAAGCGCTAAGTACCAAAGTCCCACATCCGCTTGGAGAAGAAAGACGAATCTCAGATTCTCAAGCCACCCTGTGGGTTGCCAGGGCACACTGCTTTCATTTCACAACCCTAATGCTCAAACATGTTGGGGTGTTTTAGTGTGGATCTCAGCCCGGATCCTGCCTGTTGCTACGCTCAGGACATCCTCACGCCTCTTGACCGCAGGGAATCGATCGTTGACAACGAGGCGGCCCAGGTCTGAAACCTAAGTAAGGCAGTGAGGTCTGATGTAGGCAAGACATTTACACTGTGGGCATTGGGCATATGTGTTTTCGAAGTGTTTGAACCTATTGTCTTAGGAGTTTGCTTTTTTTTTCTAGAGTACATATATAACTCTCTCTATATAATATCCAAGGCAGATCCTGGCTTTAGCAGAGCAAAGAACGTAAGGGCATGGAAGAGGGCTGTGCAAACTGGAGCCGGGTTGTATACCACGACAAGATATTCCTGGACAGCCATTCGTCCACGCGTGGAATGTCACCTGTCCAAAAGCATACTCATCATGTAGTACAATACATAGTTTGATTGACTGGACGTTAAAGGCATTGGTTTGTTTTTTGCATCTTTACTCAGTCTCAACATGTTCGATCCTCATTTTTGTTGACACCTCCATGCTTTGACCGGGCTGTCGAAGCAGCCCACAGAGACCGAGGAATGAAGACTTCGGGCCGCTTCCCCAGAGTGAGCCATGGAGGGGAGCTGGTTGCCCCTCACCAAATGATGTACATCAATATGTGAATATCAAACACAAGAAAGAGAACCATGATGATGAACCATGCAATATAGATATGTTTCACGCATACAAGGGTCGTGTAAAGGACTGCATAGAGAAAATCGTATTGCAATGTCTTCTTGAACAACTGAGAACATACATGAGCAAATCAATACACAGTTTTGAGAAACACTGTCCCACACTGGGTCACAACGACTCTCAGAAACGCCATGAAATGCCCGAGTTTTAGGCGATGTTGAACCTGTTTGAATCCCTCTGAGACTTATGCTGTTCGTCACAACTGTGTTTTATCCGTGCTCGCAGGCGGAAGAAGCCTACCCCCAGGACCAAGCCATTGCTGACGCCATGGGAGAAGGTGAGGTTGCCTGTGGTGGGATGTAACCTTGTGTACCGTTCTGGTGCAGACGTCCGGAAAGAGGAAATGGAGCATTGTTGGTTCTCTGTTCGGCCGGCTGGTGGGTTGGCACAATGGGAACACCACAATCAGATAGCGGGAGGTCAGCATGATGGTGTGAGGTATGGGGTTTGAAGTTCGGATGCGCTGGATGATTCCAGAGATGGATGGCTGGATGGTTTTCGTCAGAGTTCATTGCACGGAATGTGCATGTGTATATAGCAACATGTCGCAACCACATTCTTGGCGTGCAATTCCACTCTACCTTGGCGCTACCCCCACCTACCAAGCCCTTGCACCCAGGAGGAAAGCTACTGGATGGTGATGAAACCAGACTTTTCGGCTCCCAATTTTCGGCCCAAGTAGGACCTGCGATGTTCCGCCGCCGGCTGGCCGCTCAGGTCCTGGAGGGCCAAACGGCGTCGGCCGAGACAGACGGTTCGGGTTCCCCGGTGGCCGGCACCACAGTCGCACCGGTTGAAGTGGTGTCGCACGGCGCCAAAGGTGAAGTGGAACAATGAACGGCATGTCACGATTGTTTGGCCCAGATTTGGGACCGTTGGATAGGCAGGTATGATAGAGGTGGACAGCTTGCAGGTGGGAGGTTGATACCCCACAACTTGACTGTGGCGCCTTTGCGTTATTCAATGTCAATTCGATGCTTGATACCCTGCCGCTGCCCTCCTTTCATAGGCCTAATTTTATATGTTCCAATGTTGTCCCTGGTCATGGGTTGTTTAAACATACATGTTGCCCATCAGATTGGCACCGACATGAATCAACATGTTGTGACCGGATGGTGTCCAAGTCAGATGACTACACATGCCCAGATGCCTTAGATTCATAAACTAAGTGCTGAAATCTAAAAGCAAGAAGACAACCAACTAACAACCATGCAAACATGGTGAACTTCATGCGAACAACATGTGTTGTCGCTCGGTCGTTCCGCAGTTTTTTTTTAAATCAGACCCAGCTGCTGAAGTTGCATGGGTCGGGATCACAGGACCTTAACAACTTGAGATGTTGCATGCTTTGTTTTAAGAAGGCTCAGTTAATCTTAGTCATACATCCAGAGTTCCAATATGATCAAGTGTCAAGAGCAATCCAGTACTACAACACCTGATTTGGTTCAATTTTCCACCATGGGGCGCCTTTTGCAGTGCTGCGCTGCATGTGGCAGCAGGGAAGATGCAGATTTAACCTGCAGCAACTGCAGATCCGTGTCTTGGAGCCAGAGGGCAGTTGAACTCGGTCAAGCTTTCATGGTCTCGTGGCTTTTAGAATGTGAGAAAGAGAGAGTGGCACAAATGTAGCAAGGATTCAAGGATTGTTGACCTGGTAGTCACGCGTTTTGAATTCTCGTGCTAGGTTGAATGACCGTGGCTGTTCTAAGGAGCGTACACTAAGTACATAGGTATAGGCTTGTGTGTTGGCTGACAATTCCGATAGCTACGCGTCTCACGTATAACACTGAGTAGCCCTGCAGCCGCTTGAGGTGGTTTACTGCAGCCGCAGCTGCCAGCGTGCCCACTGGAAGAACCACAAGAAGGTTCGACGGGCATCATGGGTGGCTGAGAGCATGACACACGCTGGTGACTAGATGAGAAGAATTTGAAGGTCCATTTGGATCGATGGATTTAATGTTGCCCTGAACACTGCCTTTTTCCTCAAGTGCGCAGTGCGCCCCCCCAAATAATCCGCTCTATTTTTTTTGCGTGCTCAGGTCTTGGAGGGACACTTGTCCAAAACATCCACAAGTAAGAGAACAAACATGGAAGTATTCAACAAAGAGGCTTGCTTGGCCTGCCAATGCCTCAGATGGAGCACATTTCCCAATGCTCCTTTGCAAAAGGGAAAGTCAAGCATCACTTGCATCACCAAACTAGTATGGGGCCACTTTACAATGCTCCGAACGGACCTTCGACGCTGTGTGTGATCTCAATGTTACGAGGCGGGGCACCTAGGTGGGCACCGTTACGGTGGGCGTGCCAACGGTCAAGAAAGGAAACCCTTAAGCACAAACAGGTCAACTGCGGGATGCTTTCAAAAGTTGGCAACTTTTTTGGCACTTTGGTGGCCAAACTGTGATGGATATGATATAGGCATTTCAGCTCTGACAGTACTATGTGATATTGAGATTCCCTGGCCATTTTGGGCATATATATGAGGGGCGGTGTGCCCCCAAGCTCGGCAGTGCTCGATGCAAAAAAGTGTCTCCCTGGACTATAGCTGTAGGCCGGCGTTCTCTTGCTGGCTTTCGTTCCCCCGCCACTTTTGTTTTTCTGTATAGGCAGCAACCCACAGCGCCAAGAACAAACGCCAAATTCAAATCCGCCTTCACTTCGAAACCAAACGCCAAACTGACGCCATCACTCCAACAAAGACTCCGCACCCAAACCGCACCCAAAACATTAATTTGTGTCTTTGGTTTTGTAATGGCATTGGGCCTCAGGTCTTGTTAGATATTGAGGATACGAGATGTAAGTTAAGTTGTCATCACTTTTGTGTCGGGTTCGTTGATGCATCTTCCTGTTTGGGTCATGTTTGGTAGCTCTTTGGTGGATCATTTTCTGTTCAACTTCAAACGACGCGCTCAAGGATGGGGAGTTGCGCATCCCTAGATGAAACTTTGCCGTCAAGAGGCACAATTTCGAGATGCCCACAAATGCTCAGGAACTTGAAGCCCCCTGTTGAGTTGGGAAAGAACTCTGTGCACTTCTAGTTGGGACTAATCCTTGAGTGTTTCAGATGCAGGGGATGAAGGCTTGGGAGATCCCTTCTTTCCATCAGCGGGATGTACTGGCCCTGAACAAGTTTCAAGCGAATCCCAGTGCGAATCCCCCAAACTTACTCCAATTAAAAAAACGTCTCTCGAGGGTACAGGTATGGATTTGTTTGGACCCTGCAACACATTGTGTGGCCTTAGAATCGCTGTGGGATCACCACGTTGGAGACATGACTCAGCAAAAACAATGTCAGAATTGTCAATATTTATTTGCTGCATGTTCAGGTTTAACCCTGCGTTTCCCTGGAATCAATGTCCAACTTGTAAATGCCTGGACCTCCCAAGCACCTTGGAAGATGGTTCCAAGTATATATATATATATACTCAGTACTCGTTGTTCAGGGTCCCAAGTGCCAGAGTCCAGCTTCTTGACCGCCCCGCCCTTCCTCCGAAAGCGAAGGACTGCGAGGCCTTAGCTTTGAAAGTGGTTTCCGAAGTGACGGTCACCATGGAGTGTCCGCAGCCGCTCGGAGCTCCAGATCCTCAACTCGTGTGACGGAATCAACTCCCTCGAAGCGTGTGGAACCCGGTCGAGGCATTGAACACTTCAAGGTGATAGGATGCACTAGGTAGGTTTGGTGCCTCAAGGTGTTCAGTTTGACTCGTCAAGCCGCTTGACTAAGCCGAAGACACATCGCCCATGGGCGATATGTGGCTGGCATTGGCAATGAACCATATCACGAAAGGTAGCATTAGCTACCTGAGTTCTATCTTGCGTAAGCAAGGAGGGCTGCATCCCTGAAAGATCTTGAAAGATTTGAACGTTTGGATTTTAGTGGTGATTCTGTTTGACAAGAACCCCCCCTCCCCCGCCCGCAGTTCAACTCCCACTGTGGGGCATCATTATCATTAATGATCATACATGAGATGATTTTTGGCAAGGTTTCTTTTACTGTGTCGGTTCGGTTCATGAGCACATGCGGAGCACTCCACAGATCAAATAAACTCGCTCACCCCCCCCCCCGCATGGAAGTAGATCAACCCAAAGATGAGTGGTAGTCTTAGAAGCCTTGCTCATCCAAGAGCAGTCTCCCCCTTCCATTTGTCCTCCTTGTTCACTCCTCCCCAAGTGGAGATGTCAAAGCGGCCATCGATTCGCTTCGCTCGCCCTCTCCTACCATCGTTCGTGACTTCGGGGTTGGAGCAGGCTCCAAGAACAGGCAGCCCAGTCATCCCTTTGGTTGAAAGCAGCATGTGACGAATTCAGGTATCGCAAAACTGTTCAGAAGCAATCCACCAGGTGACCAAACTCATTTGATTGGGACTCCAGAAACTATATGACATGACCGGAATGTCCAGCAACTGTTGGGGCCCGGTGCAGCCACTATGTTTCTCCACTGAGGTTTCTTGGTTGGTTGGACTCTTGTCTTCGAATTCACCGGGTTCCTGCGCTGCTTGGAGGTCCTCCGACAGGTGCGGGCTGCAGAAAGAGATGGCATTTGTGATCCATCCTTAGGATATGTTTCAAAATGTAAGTCTTCCTTTTCCTCGTTCTTCCTTTGTTTCCTTCTTCCTTTTTCCTCTTTTCTTTTTCCTCCTTCTTCCATGTTTTTGTCCTTTTCCTTCCTTTTTTTTTCCTGTTCCCTCTTCGTCCTCCCCCTGGAACAGCCCTCTCTAACTCGGACAAGAAAAAAGCGGATCACATTCTTCACCAGCGTCCAACCATTCCCCAGACGTTCATTTCGAAGCATTAGAGCCTTCCAACTCATTGGGAGCACTCCCCAACTCCCAACTCATTCATGGGTCATTCAGCCTTCAGCCAGCACCTGCCAGGCCCCTTAGTGCTCCGGTCCCCGGCACCCTGCCGCCGTCGGGCGGTGGAGACGGCAGGGCGTGCATTTCTGGAGGTGGGGCTGAGGATCGGCATTTCGATGGCAAACATGGTGCAGACGATGGTGGACGAGATTTTTTGGACGAGTGGAATTGGTTGGACAAGATGGCACTTGAGATCACTTCGATGGCAACATCCCCCACCTTAAGATTGATACACGGCGCACGTACACACACACACAACTCTGAGAAGCAGTTGGTGCTGACATTTGGAGGGAAGGCCAAACAGCAGAAACAAATCATGCTCATTTAAGACCTAGTCTATGACCGTCTATGACCTATATTTCTCGTTCTTTAAGTTGTAATGTTCCGCCACTGATGCTGATCATGGCATTTTCACTGGTAGTTCGATGTAACTTTGAAAGAGCCCTGTTGGAACTGTAGTCGTGGTATACCTAAAACCCCAAACATCCCTAAACCCCCAATAAGCGGTTTCAGTTTACTAACTCCAGTGATGTTCTTTGATGCCCCCATGCCGTCATCATGGCTTCCAGTCCGGTCAGGGCTACGAGCGCTCGATGCCTAGCTTTCAGCCGGCCAAGGCCCCTGCGCAGGAGGAGGCCAGTATTAGAAACAACCAACAAGTGTCAGTGGTGGTCTCTCCCTGTATCAGGTAGTGTGTGTCTTTTTTGTGGTCAGGAACGTCAGATATCGGCAGCAAACACATGACCAGGGAGGGCTAGGTAAATGCACCATAAGTATAGTACAGATCCTGCACTTGCTGAGGTGGTCATCACGGGGCCGGGTATTCGTTTAGCAGCCATGTAGGAAGTTTCTTCCTTCTTCCAGGGTCTTGGCTTTGGAGGTGTGGCTCCTTGCCAGCAAAAAGACTGGCTGCTGTGGCCTTGTCATAGCGAGATCCGAGTAATTACCCACCATCTTTGTCGTTTGGGTGCAGAAATGCTGCTTGCGCGAGGTTTCACGCGCAATATACTGGGATCATCCAACGGGTGTTCAGTGTGGACTACCCTACAACTAGAAAAACAGGTTCCAATCTTCCCACACACCTTGCGCTTTGCTCCACGACGCACCTCTCAGTCCTTCCCCATGGGGGGGTGCCGGAGGTTGGGATTTACAATAGACTTTCTAACAAAACATGCAAAAACAAACCGCAAGTTCAACCGGTATGTCCCCAGGTTAAACCATACGCAAAGTATCATTGACGGCGAATATCTTTCATGTCAGGGGAAATACATGAACATACTAATTCACTGGTCAAGACAAATGGAATCAATATTCTATTTTTGATGCTTAATTTTCTTTACCCTTTGATAGACATTGTGGCGGTTAAGAAATGAGAGATCAGTTGGCATAGGAGTGGCAACAAGAGAGCATTCAAGATTCGGCACGAAGGGAATACGGACATTAAGAGGGTAAAGTTGTCCGGGCATAGCAGCATATTCTTTCAACATCTTCATGGCTTGTTTTGTGGAAGAGCCGGACGAGATGCAATGCCTCCTACCAAACTCCGGCGATAAACCAACTTTACCATTGTTGATGCACCCGTTTTCTTATAGCGTGGACACAACCATTGTTTTGAGATGCTCTCAAGATATCAATATATTTAACAACGTTACGAAAGTTGATGGCTTAGTGCCACAAACTTTGGACTTCTGGTTTTTGCAATGAGACTTCTGGTGAAAAGAAATCAGACGGATGAGCCGGATGGTTAGTTTTAATCTTTAGCCAAATGGGCATGCATCAGCCAGCAAACAATCTACTGTAAAATGAAAAACAAGTTCATACCATGTTATTCCACAATCTGATTTTGATATGGGGAGATCAGGATGGCGCCATGTCAGTTGTCGAAAGAACAGCCAGACGCATTGTGCGATTTGTGCCCCAGCTGGACAAGCTGGACAGGTTTCAATCTTCCATTTACAGTGAAGACATATGCACAACCTGCGGCGACCTGCAGTTCATATTGGTCTTCACCTTTAATCTTGATCATTTCTGATCGAAAGGCCTACATGTGAGCCGGTTGGTAGTATTAGTATGAACGCTTTATAATGCTTTCATTGTTCATTCATGATCAAGTGCATGAACACGAGGACAAGCAAATGAGTACACTTCCCAAACCAAAATTCTTTCCAGAGATCAATGCCCCTCTGATTGACAGGCTCCTCCGAAGCGGCGTCCGCTCAGCAACCGCTCGGGCCGCACCAAGCCATACTTGTTGCGCTGTCAAGAGCGGGCTGCAGCTCGGAGATGGGAGCGGCTCGCGCATGCGAGCGCAACCGCTTGGGTGGACTGGAGACTGGAGTCCATCCCAGGATCCGTGAGTGGAGGGAACCTGGACACCTTCAACTCAGGTTCATTCTTTTTGATGTGAAGGTTCGAATCGCTGATAGTAGGAGACGCTGGACTAGTGACTAGTGCTGTGTGGTGTGGGGGCAAAAATCAAGCCTAAGCAGCAAAAGCATCAAGCAACAGCAGAATTTCAGCATTTCAGGAACAACACGCGTTCAAAAGCTGAATGGTGAGCCTCCCACTACGTGGAACACATTTCGCGAACGGCCGGGACCCAGGAACGACGTTCCAAGTTGCGGCCTGGTAAAGGGTTGAGCCGACGCTTGCAAGGCACGTTAAATTGATCCTGCGCTGTGTTCGACGCCAGGGTCGAGTCTTTTTGTTGGCGAGCAGAATGCCAGTGTGGATCGCCTGCATCCAGAAGATCTTCTCGATGTGCGATCTCGACGAGAGAAGACTCATGTGATGTTTCGTGTGTTTTTTTTCCAGAATTTTCTTCACAAGTGACAAGTGTTATAATGTGTCCACTCGGGCTTTGTCCCTATGACTTGATGACTTTAGCACTTCGGCGGTGTCCACTGGCCAGGTGTCGAGCTCTATACGCTGTTGGAGATACAAGGAGTGACCGACGAGGGCTTTCCCAGCATGGAAGAGGTGGGCGTTCGTTCGGATGAGTCGATGTTCCAACGTTTCAAGTGATGCGTTTGCCCGAGGGAAGGGCATCATCTCCCTTTTTTAGGCTAACTTTGTAGTTTTGGTGCGAATTGTGACTTAGTGAAAGTCCAATATGGTTGCAGATTGGTTTCCCCATGGGTGATTGACGAACTTGTGGGCTTAGCGTTGGGATGTATAACAGTTTATATGTTATAGTTGTATGTGCGACCCCATTCTAATCCTATACTCCTATTCTGGCGTATGTTTGGCAATGCTCACGATGCCAGGCTCACAAGGACAGATTGTTGCGCAGCAATTCTCAGGAAACATACTTCCAAGAGTCCAAAGCCTCAATCGTCTAAAGATCCAATAGTCTAAAAGTCCCAAGATCCGAAGATTTCCTGCTTTGGACTTCAGACCTTTGGGTTTGTGACGTTGGTCCCAAAAAGTGAAACACTGTGTAAATGTTCTAGGAAATGATTTCGATGCACCAAAGCACTGCCAATATCAACGAAATAACTACACTACACTAAAATAGACATACGTATACTAAGTGGGGCTGAAAACTAACATGGACCCTGAAATCCACTTTGAGGGTCAGGGTGCCATTCTCAGGGTCCATGTTAGTTTTCGGGAGTGAACCATACGAATAGAATGCTACATACTGATGTACCAGGAGCCAGTTGAATGAGGCTCATCTCTTGTTCAGAATGCCTGCATGCAACATCACATTCATGTAATCATTTCAAGGGGACAAGACCTTGGCTGTCCACTTTCTATATACCCAGCCGCAGGTGAAAGAGGCCTACAAAAGGCTGGTACTGATTCACCATCCTGACAAGAAGGCCAGGCACGTAAAAGAATAAGACTGACACGATGCCTGGTGAACAAAGAAACGAAAGAAAGATATGCACGATCAAGATCTTGTTCAGCTACACAGAAGCCAGTGGAACATGGCCCCCGGAAGACTGATCACCATGTACATACAGCACTCCAAGCACTGTTTCCCTCGGCATACCCGCATGCCCAGTGCCTACAGCTGGACGGGGCAGTTTTGGCTCGGTGTGAGGCCAGCAAAAGTCTCGCTTTTCAGCTCATCCAGGAGGCTTATGAATACCTCTCTGATCCGGAGCAGCTCGGCGCTGCGGGGTTCCGAGCAAGGTTGCTTGGAACGGGCTGCTGTTGGGGTGGTCCACTTTCGAAGGAGCTTCGAAAAGAAACGGATTGTATGAAAGCAGCATGTAGCAAGTATGGCTTGAAGCTCCACAGAAAGCAAGGATGTGATGTCCTCACGAGATCACGATATGTGGAAAGCGATATGGCCATATGTTTGGGGCTTCTGAGCTAAAGGGTTTTAAATTGTTTGTGGACTCAGGATGCTTTCAGGTGTCGACATGAGAATGTTGGACCTTGTCAACCACAAGCGCAAAATCCATGTTTGCGGACCGGATTCATTTCAGGAACAAGCAGATGTACGATAGCACACTGCCGTTTGATGATTCCATCCCTACGAGGGCAGAGCTTTGCTCCAGAGGAGATGCGGCTGGGTGAGTGGGCGGCGCCCCCAGGCAGCTGAGTGGGCGAACTCCACTTTCACGGGTTCCATGCACTGTTACCCCGGACCCCCCTTTCTTCGGGTAACAGCCTGGCGTTCCCTCATTTGCCTGACCAACGCACTCAAGGATGTGTGAGTGTGTCTGAACTTTGACAACATGCAGCAACCACGTGATGTTAATTGATGGTCTTTTCCACAGCGCCGCCACCGCAAATTTCACGCGCTTTTCGGTGCAGGATTTTTCAAGAGCTTGGAGGACGTCTTCCGGCGGAACGCACGGTTCTCCGAGGTGTCCGAGGTCCCTCTGTTAGGCACGGTGGATGAGGACGTGGATCGGGTCCATGATTTCTACGAGCAGCTCGTTCGGAGGAAGGGCGGTTTTGGGAAGGACCAATGAGAGCGAAGACAAGCTAATGAAACGGACAGGGCAGATATGTGTGGAATCATCCGTGGCTGTGAGTCAAAACCTCGATCCTCCACCAGACCATGGTGGGTTGATGGTTTTGACCCACTGCCAGATGGTGTTCAGTATTGAGAGCTGCTTTCCTTGTCCCAACAACTTGATGCTTTCGACGGTTGGAATGAGTAGAAGGACTATACCGGGCCGGGGTGGAAAGGGAAAGCATATGATTTTGGAGGAAAAGGGCAAACATGATCATTGAAAACCATTCTCCGCATGGAACTGACCTCTTACAAACCGGATGATCGGATAGCACGGAAAAGGTGAATCAGGTCCGTATAGGTCCGTTTTCGCCGGAAAGGGGCGCTTCGTTTTCGCTGCCGTGAGATTTGACTCGTTTGCAGTTCGAGTCAGCAGCTGCAGCCGAATAGAAATTTGTGCAACAAAAGATTGATCAACCAGAGGGCTTCAATGAGGGATTTCCTGAACGGTGAGGACCTCTTGTCATGTGGTGAGGGATGCATTTCTGCTTACATACACAGGTGGTGCTAAGCTGTTAGATCATGGAACTGCCGACTTACCACTACCGATGATTCATTCCCTGGTCTTGCAAGACAATTCAAAGGGAAAAACACTGGTACACAGAGTTGCGATCAGATTCTGGCGAGATAGCCATGGCTACGTTGGTCTGGGGATTTTTTTAAACTCAGTTTAGGTTGGGTGTTCACATTGGTACATAAATATTGAGGTTCACTATGCAATCTTCAAAATCAGTAGACCAAAACTTAGAACCTGGAATCTTTCAAGTCCCACCCCGCAGGTCAATAGTTTGACTATGCCCTTAAATTGTTTGCTTTTTGGGGGCCTAGATAGCCCAGGTGGTGGTACCACTTCGAAAGCTGGCGCGATGTGAGCCCAGCCTATTTGGAGAAGCATGGCTTGGAGCTGGAAGATATTCAGGCGCAAACCTGCGTTTCGCCGCTGAAGAGCATGTGATTCGCCGGAGTAAGAGCATTTGGTTTTTGAGCAGCTGAGCCACAAACGACACCATCAGATCCTGTGCCGTTTGATGTCCTGTACCACTGTTACACCTACTTGCCGTTTTCCCAAAGCACAAAGTTGCATATTTTGGGATGCCTTTGGATTCTACAATCTCCCACGAAAGTGATTGACACCAGAGATGGTAGGTCGTGATCGGTTTGTCCTTTTGAATTTGTTATTTTCTGCTTCTTTGATGCCACCCACTCAAGACTCTTGGAAATCCCAAACGGTGATTGATTGCAGTGGGGTTGAGCACTGTGCGTTCTTGCTCCAGGACATGTCAAGTGACAGAGCATGTGTTTGCTTTTGGCGGGGAGGCTTCGTGAAAAGGATTAGCTGATTAGCTTTGAGCTGGCCTGTGCAATCCTGAATTAATTGTTTACACAAGAGCAGTTGGTGTAGTGGTGGACTAAGCTGCGGCAGAGGAAACAGAAACATGACGGTGTTCTTGAGGGTGGAAAGTGAGGGTTCCTCATTTTCTTCCGGGCGTACAATGATAATTAAACAGAGGTACAATGAGAGTAGTCAAAGACCATGAGCCCATTCATCTCTTAACAACGATATCAAAGGTTTTACTTTCTTGCACATCGCTAGGGCTTTATATATATATATATATATTGGTGAGTGCAAAAGCAGGCCCTCCGAAACCATGGATAAATTTGTTTAACATCCCTAGAAGTCCTTTGGGCCATTTTTTATAAGGTCAACCATAACCTTGTGATGTTTAAATGGGCATTGCCCCAGCAGGGTCATTGGCTTGGAGAGGTGCCGGCCAGGACTGTCCCCGGCACCAGCGTCGGGGTCGGCAGAAGCGCAACGAGCAGATCCGCAAGCAGTTTGATGCACAGGAACGGAGCCTCGGCTCCAACACAGCTGGTGGGAAGGGAATTGAAGGTTAGAGACTTTGAAGAGAAATGGGAGCAGAAACTCAGAGATCCCTTCAAACCGAGCATCCACATCCGGGATGATCCATTTCAGTTCCTCAACTGAGGCTCCGGCTGATGCGCTTGGTCGACCTGGCCTGGCAGAATGACCCCCGTCTCCACTGGGTCTCCTTGGATGCCAAGTCTGCCGTCCCGGCAAAGACTTCAACGACTCAGCCCCGGTTTAAACCGCGGGCGGACACGTTGAACGCAGTGCCAAAGGTCACAGAGGAGGAGAAGCGGAAGCAGGACAGACGTAGAGATGAGAACTGGAAGATTCGTGAGCGAATGATGGAATGCTTCAAATTTGCACTAGGTCACTAGGAGAGCAACACGTGACAAGATTGACAAAATGACAAGACCACCAGGATCATCAAATTTGCACTACCCTACATTACTTATAGGGATCTCCATTGGACACCCATTGGATGGTCCAGGTATGTGTTTGACAATCATGGTCTCTTACTTGAGGGTGGCTGTGACTAGACCTGAGGGCTTTCGTTTCCGGCCCTGACCGGGTCAAATAGAGTGCATTGCAGGGTCTACCCGGTAGTGGCTTCGACTTGGTGCAACACGTGGAACAAATCTCGTGGAAACTCAGAGCACCTGGTCCTTCACGCCAAACTCATTCAAGTAGTGCCAGTGGATCGCTGATTTTGGAAGCGCCGATCTCGATTTCTTTTGTTGAGCGATGCTTGCATTATGAAACGTGTAGTGCACGACCTACCGCTGGGTAAATGTGAGGCAGGAAAGGTGATGTTGAGTGGTGAGACATAGGGAGTAGTGTATGCCCCTTTGAACACATTGGCAAGGGCCCACGCATGCAGGAGGAGGCGAAGAGGATTGCCAAAGGCCGGCGGCAGCAGCTGCGAAAGCTAGTTGAAAGCCTGGGGCTGCTTGTGAGACTCGGTTGGAAGCGCTTGGGAAGTGTCACACTGTTGCTTCAACACAGCCTCAGTGGCGGATTCTTCCTTGCTGGACCCAATGGTTGTGTTGGGTGTGGTGCATTGAGAGTAATGGCGCAGACCCCAAGAGGTGGTTTATATGAACTCCCATGTCAAGGACGTCTTGAGGTCTGTGCCATCTACTTTGAGTGTCTCGCTTCACAAGGGGATCAGGTCTGGGTCGTGAAGGACGGGAATTAGGGCAGACGGCCAGGTCCATGTCCCACCAGAGCTAATTGGCTAATTACGCACACGTGAGCAGAGGATGGAAGGGGCATGAGGCATGAGTCGGCTGTTGACCGTAAGCAATGGAAAAACGAGTTCCATCTCGTAGAGTGAAGTTTGGCAGAAGTTATTTGAGTTTGATGTTCTATTATTTAGCATCATCCGCTGGAAACCCATATAACACACATGAAAAAAGAACATAACATCATAGAATTCCCTACCAGACCCATTCATAGAATTCCTGTTTGGCCCGCGCTGCTGTTTGCCCGAGGAGCGGCGTCGAGCTGGAAAGGTACTGTTTGAAAGTCCCTGGAGATGCTGAGGAGTTGCTCAGTCACCATGGGAAGGATGGGTCCGACTGAACAGGCTTTTGAACAAGTAGCTTCATGGATCCTGTGAATTCCAAAGTTCAGACTCCACCTCCGTGTTTGGATGCGTATATTATATAATGGGCATGATCCTGGTATGTAACAGTGCGTGTTTGTTATGTAATCTAAACACAGCTCCAGAGTTGTTTATATTTTTTGGCGAGCTAGCTTGCCCCTTCTGGAAGTTTGTGATGATACAATTATATAACTGTTTATCATGGCCTCACAAAAGAATGCACATGGCCAAACTGACAACCATTATAGAACTGACTGGCTTTTACTGTAACAACTATGCATCTCTTTCATAGGACTCCCCCGTGGTCCCGCATCCAATTTCTGCAAGCAAAACATGCAAATAATATCAAAGAATCTAGACCTTCCAAGCAGGTGTGCCTTGAGGTTTGGACCACTCCAACCACGCAAATCGCTGACTGGCTGCCCTTGGTGTTTGCATCGCCTCGAGATCGAGGTTGGAAGACTTGGCCGACGAGGTGCAACGCTTGGCGGAGCTGCCGGCCGAGGCAGATGCAGATGACTGATTAAGTTAAAAAAGAAACGACCAACGCATATTGAAGCATAGTAGTGTTTTGCATGTTTGCTTTTGAGTCACCCTTTGGGCCGGAGTGGTTCCACTAAATATAGTAGTCAATATGAACCAATAGCACACAAGTGGCAATGATCGGGGCATCAAAAGGGTCAGTCAGCGGAGGAGAAGTGATGCGTTTGGGGAGACAGAACACAAGATTTGCTGGATTTTGCCCTGGATTTGGGGTTTCCAAAATTGGTATCTAACCTCCACCCCTTCCGCTTTTGATTGTGTTCAATTTTTAGGAGGTCACAGAGGAGCTAACGGAGACAGATGAGGAGTCGATGGGGACGTCGTGAGGAGGGTCATCACGGTGTAAAGATGGGCCTATTGTGTTACAGGCATCTACAAGCAATGAAGGAGATCTCAAATCATTCAATGTATTCAATGCCCTTACTAGATTGTGAGGACTTTGGATTGGTCGACTCACCTGAAATCCGAACAAGTTTTCCCCCTCAGGGTCATCTTTGAGACTTCAGGGTTCCGAAGAGAATCCGGGAGTTATAATATAATTGAGATTGTTGCCCGTCAGCGGTTCTTTTTGTGAGACAGAATGGGGTGCCCGCTGAGCACTGCTGGGCAAGATGTTGCACATTGAGTCACTGACGTGAAGGAATCAGGCAATACTGATGTTATCACCGATGCAAGGAGCTCAATAACAAAAAGAAAACGGAAGAGGCAGAAGTCCCCAGCTGCACTTTTTGTGGCTGGTCGGCATTGCAGGGCGATGGCACATGGCGATGGCACATGGCTCACAGGGGTGCAGTGGGGACATGTGGGGACTCGGCTCTGAGAGCCTGCATTTGATCTACATAACACTCTAGCACACGGGACTTGTTACATGCTGCATCACTTGTCATTTGCTCTTGGTGCCTTGGCCCCGGTGTTGACATTGGATGTTAGATGTCCTCCAACTGTCGAACAGTTGCTGCTATACACCAATGGTCCATTGGGTCCATTGGTGATGCCTATGGGAATTGGCCCACCCGTGTTGGGCCTCACTGGGCTTGACACCCTTCCATTCTCAGATAAATCAGACCTTGAAATTCTCAGAAGTTATAATATAACTGGCTTCGTTTTGGGTTCCCCCTCTTAGTCCATGCACCCTCCAACTCCTTGAGCCCGTTACCGAGGTAATGGCACTGGGCTGAACTGCGCTACTTGGAGGAAGCAAACGCATTTGACACTGACCATCTCATTTCTCCCTGTGAGAACCACGTACGGGGCCTTGCCCCGGCGGATGGGCAAGTCGAATTTGGGATCTTCCTGAAACAGAAGGGGTGAGCTCATTTCAACCATGCCTAGCCTTCAAAAGCAAGGTCCACTCGTCAGCCAGGATCGCCCCAACTGCTTGGAGTCGAAGTCGGGTTGCCTGCGATAAGAACTGGCAGGGATTCTGAAACCACTTCCTTGGAACATGGTAGGGGCAGGGTCAAGACCCTAGTCTAGTCAAGTCTAGTAAGTATTCAGTGTGCTCTTGGGTATGCATTATGCAACTTCTAAAAAAACAACTGTCTTTGCAATCGCAGAAATTGGTTCACTGACTTGGGCCGAATCCATTTCTATAATGCATGTGAGGAAGAGCTTGCTGTTCCTTGTGTATACATGTTCTTAATATGAGTCTCTCTCTCTCTATGCATATATATTATATGTATTGGACCGGATACTAGGATTTCATTCAGCTTGGTGAGATGTTTGACACATGGTCATGGCCCCGATCAGCAATCACTGAGATATTTGATGATTGCACCAATGTCTCCCTTACCAGGGGCGTTTTTTGAGATTGGAGATCGAGGTGAGCAAGTGCACCTGCATGTTCTGTGATGGCAGCGGTAAGCAGAAGGTGGAGGAAAAGGTGGAGGCTGTCGAAGACACCCCGCAGAAGGCCGGGCCTGAAACAGGCCATCCTGTGCTTGGAAGGGCTTTGTTTGTCCTATTCGGTGGGCTGTTTGGGACTCGATCTTTGTCTCAGCCGGTCGGGTGACCATCGCCCTGTCAGCTGAAGCTCAGCCACCACAGCTCGGTTCAAGTCTTGGGTGGGATCTTCACGCCCAAGGCGCATCAAGGCGCCCAACTGATGTTTTGACTAAGCGTGAGGGGAATGGGCTGGCAAGGGCACACAGGGTGCCGCTTGCCCATGCACGGTGCCCAGTGTTGAACGGTTACATCAGTGAGCAAGTACAGAGGCTAGGCAGGATAAGGAGATTAGCGAGAAGCCTCTCAAGAGTTCCCATATATGGTCCCATTCTCATGCTCCTTGGACATCACCGCTGCCATGCTTCAGTAGCGCTCCGCAAGGAGAAACGCTACCGGCGCAAGACCCCGAAGCAGTTGGCACAGGAGGCAATTTTCGAAGCCATGTGGGCTTCAGGCGGGTGTGATGGGAGGCTGCATGTTTCAAGACGTTAGACATATCACAAGCTCACACGATCATCTTTGAAACATCTTAGAACTGATACATCGACATCTCGCTCAATATGGCAAGAGACCACCGTGCGCTTGTTGGACCAATAGCAGCTTATTGGACCATATCTTTCGCGACCAATGGTTGGTTTGGTGGGTTGGGGGCTACAGCTATGGGCGCGAAAGCTGCCATCATCACAGACCTGTGCAGTAGAATTGCAATAATCAGGACAAAAGCCGGGCTCAAGGCTCCAGAAGTCATGCTAACTGCCTTGTAGCTCCTAGTAGTGATGTACCTCTTGTGGAGGTGATACTTCTGGCACGAACCTTACAGGGAGACATATCATGACATCTCATATCATCATTAGATCAACAGTCCGAAAGGCGTTGGAAGTTGACCGAAACATCTGGACGCCAATGCTTTTGGGGGCCTCCATTTCTTTGGGACCGCCTCCCTCACGTGGACCCGACCGTCTTCCGCCAGGCATGCGGCCCACTGAGACCCGGCATTCCCCCGAGCTCCGACAAGAACGCCGCGAGCGGCAGGCGTGGGCCGAGTGGCAGAAGGGCTAGTGCTTGTGCATTTTCATAATAACTGCATAACAATTCCCTTGGGCCTCCTTATTGAGAGAAACAGTCTTAGTCTTGGGCTTCAGCACGTGCAAATAGTTTTTTCCCGTTCACTCAGCGGTGTTTTTTTTCGGCTGGCCTTTTGGCCCTTCGCCTTCGTCGACACGACCGTACGGGCACTGTAATACTGAACGCCGGGACCTGGTCGATACTTCCGTTCGCTTTTCTACACTTAGTCCTTGATCGCCATCCTCACAGAATTGGCAGGAGCGTGAGAGGGAGGAGCGTCGACTCCGCAGGGAGCAACGGCAGAAGGCGCGTGAGAACTCAGTGATCACGCGCCGCGGATCGCGTGATCACTGAGTCGGTGGAGCAAACATCCCGTGACTCATTTATGGTGTCATATATGATCCGTTTATATTCCGATTGTTTTTCCTCTGTTTGGGGATCAAGATGAGACTTATGTTTGAACCCGGTGGGCCGGGTCATTTTGGCCAAGTCTATGTTCATTCTTTCAATGTCTGTCTAGATTATGCAGGAACATAAGTGTATGATTATTTATCACTTGTACAGTAACATTTTCTTCGAGCTCTCTTGACGACATCCAACGCGTTCTTCAGAAGCTTTGCACTTTGTGGAAGGACTTGATAACCACTACAACTACCAGGCCCTAGCTATCTTAGTACTGTAGGTGTTGGCTGGGATTATTGGTGGGAACATGTAGGAAGCGCATTCTCCCATTGCCCAACTGTCTTCCATGCTCAGCAGTCGGACCTTGCGCGTGACGAGGAAGAGAAAGAGAATGAAGCAAAATGGAAGGAAGCGCTACCAAAGGCAGAGGACGGGAATCCGCGACCCGATGTGATTCAGACAAGGCGAAGGGCCACCACCAAGCTATATGTTTTTGGTACCTCAAGCGGAAGAACAAGCATGCCCGGAAAGGTGTTTGTTGAGATCCGCGAGGGCCATATCCAATTTCAGCAACAGATAAACCAGCTTTGCCAAATGGAAGTTGTGGACAAATATCGCCCTGATTTCCGACACCATTTGCCCAGAGTTTGGTACCCATCGATGTTTCCACATGACCGCACAACTCTCAACAACTCCCATCATCTGCTCCCCGCACAGCGCTCTCATCATTCAGAAAGCCCTATAAAGAAAGGACGCCGCGGGCAGGAGCCACGTTCGCCCAAGAAGCGAGCCAAGTTCGCTGTCCCAGAGGCCGGAGTCTTTGGGGCTGTTCTTTGCTAGGTCACCTCCATCGGTCAGTCTTCGAATGGCCACAGTGACGAAGTGGCCTCAAGCCTCAAATGAACCGCTCGATGATGCTACTCGGACAAATGCCATATGAATCCATATGATACAGGATGCCCAGTGAATCAACAGGTTCGAATCATACAAATTCTGAGTTGATGTGCTGTTGGGTGCCACTGGGTTTGGAGGAGTGGACAGGTCAATGACCAGGCTTAGCCAGAGCATATGGCTCTGGAGCGATTCTCCCTTCATGTTGAGGAAAGGATCTCTGAAGACCATCCGCAGGTGGTAGCAGGCTTAGCACAAGACGCCCAGGTTCATTCGCGTCCAGCCCGGAGGATCATTAGCGGCACCTTTGGTGAATGATGAACGGTTCTAGTAGCTTCTTGTTCCTAGTAGTACGGCCAGGAGCCCCTAGTAGCTTCTTTGCTCTTACCCAAAAATTGTTCAGTCTTCAGTTGGCACAGGCAGTGGAGATTCAGCCCAAGATCGTCCAGGAGGAGGCGGTCGGTGACCCGGTCGGCTGCCATGGATAACCGGTGACCGCGCCTTACGCCCTTCGTGGGAGACTTAAGCATGAGTGAGAACTAAGAGGGTTGGGAAGGTGAGGACTGTCAAGGACTTGATCACCGTCACAACTTCTGAGCCTTTTCTCCCTTCACGGGTCCAGCATCACAGTCCGATAGGGCTCATGTTGAGTCCGAACCTGCAGGACCTGAGGATGGAAGAGGCCGAGGCAGTGCTTGGAAGTCTCGAGCACGACACCAACCCGGAAACGGTGCGCTCCACGGTCGCGGCGTCGTCGGGCGTGGGGAGCTCCCGTCGGACGTGCATGCCGACACCGATCGAAATGCACGCCAAGGGCGAAAGGATCAGAAAGGCAGGACAAATGGAAGAAAGCAACCACTAAAGCAACAAGCTATATATGTATACCATTGTATACCGCGTCATGTATTAATTATTCATTCCAGACTTGTATCATATATTAACTATGTGCACAATGGCAGAGTCAATGGCTGAGTCAGCGGCTTAAGATCTATATAGTCATATATATATAGCGTATATAGTCTATACACATTTATATATATATATTATAATATATGAATCTCACTTGATTCGCGATTCAATTCTAGACCCCACTTAATGCCCGAGGTTTTTTAGCCTGGGACCTGTGATCACTATGAGTGCTGCAAAAGACAGTGCGGTTGAGAGCGATGCTGATCCAAAAGGCAAAGGTGAAAAGGGGAGTGTGCATTGCACGGCGCGCCCTCACATTGACCCAAATCCTCCACTTTTGGAGCTTTCAAACCGACCAAGACCGGGCGACGACAAACATGTGGAAACACGCACGTCAACTCGACGACGGAGATAGGACGACCGACGACAGGTGGACAAGATCGCCAAGCTCACGGAGTTTGCGCGGGTGGGCATCGAAGGGTCCACCCAGGCGAGGTAGGCTTTGAAATGACCACGGCGCCTTGACTATTGCGATGACCATGGTTTTGGATGACCTAATTAATTACTTGTACCTTTGGTTCATCATGTGACATGTGTTCAGGATCTTGGATGTTATTCCCAAGACAACCTTTGATGTTACTTGTTCTAGGAGCGATGCAGCTTTCTTACCAACCGGAAGGTGAGAACAGAACCCATACAGCCGGGGTTACAGGGTGCCATCGTGTTGTTTCTTGACCGACTTCCACATGAACCAGTTCTTTCTGCAGATTCTAGAGTCTAGAGGCTTCTATGAGGGGGAGCATGATTGAGAAGCCTAAAGAATTTTGGCCTGTTGCGATTGCCGACCGCGCTGCCTGTGACACGCTCACGCTCATTGACCTGATTACGAAAAACTGTTATGTATTCCAGGCCGGAAAGAACCTGGCCCCATCGCAGCTGCCTCATCGAAGCAAGCTTTTAAATTTGCAGCAGTGAAAAGATTGAGAAGCTACAAACTAGCTATACAGTGTTAGAGAGTCATGTTTTACTATGGGTCGTTTGGGTAACCTACAGCTTCCTACCATGTCGGGAGGTGGTCTTGGCACGAGCCAGATCACAGCAGGTGATTTTGGCCTCGTTGATTGCCTCCAATGAGCTTCGCATGCTTCTGGCGGAGCTCGAGGCTGGAAATTGCAAGAAGTGGTGTGCCAGACAAGATCCAATTATGTTGAGAAAAGATCACATTGAAAAGGGGAGTTCCCTCATGTTCCCACAAAAAGCTTTACGTGGGGCAATGGTATTGTGGAACCGGCTGGATGTCAGTGTTTGAAAGGCCACAATCTTCTCGAAAGCCATGGAGATTTGCACCACAAAAGCCGATGACAGGGCACTTTTGGAGTCAACCAGTTTAGTCTACCCCTTGCATCTCCAGTGAAATACTTTAGCTCAATCTGTATAAACTAGTGTGATATGAACTGATATAAAGTATCCAATCAAGGGTTATATTCGCTTGCATGGAGAAAAGTATAGAAACGTGTGGTAGAAAGACTCAATGCATTGGTGTGCTTGAGCGGGCTGCTTCCAGCGCCCTTGATCCAGCAGTTTTGGGTGTAAGACCTGACCAAGCACCGAGACGGCCTCGATCTGCAGACATGCCTGCACAGACATGCCTGCATGTGGACAAGGTGGATATTGATCTTTGGTTCCTTTCCGCACCATTCCTTCAACTTCATTCCAATGCTGCAGAAACAGCAGCATCAGCGACAAAGGCAAGACAACAGCAAAGGCAACAACTGCAACAACAGCAAGAACATTTACCTAAGACTACCTGAGAACCGCCATTCCGAAGAACAAACACAGCAACCACCCGCAGGATTTTGGACAGATGATGTTTTTTTTGCTCATCAGGGGCACAATCGTTCCCACATGGATTTTTCCAGTCTAGGCTTTTTTGTGGGAGTGAGTCCTTTTTAGGGTGCCAGGCAGACAATTGTGGACAAACTTCATAGGTTTCAATCCCAACATGACTGTCAGTGGGGCACATGGATGTGGGGGATTTGCAGGACCGACGAGTGCAAGAGCCCGACCACTACGCCGATGAGGCGTTCACCAAACCGCGCACGCGGTCCTGGGCGCTGGGACATAGGGTAGCAACACAATCAAGTTACTACTAGCGTGGCACTTGTTCCTAATAGCTTCTTGTTACTACTAGTAAGGCACCTGTTACTAGCGTGGCACTAGCTGAAGCCTCAAATATCATGCGAGATTGCCCATCCATATCCATCCTGTTCACGTTCACAGGTCAATTTGGGCTTTTGACCCCACACTCACACATGGCAAGGCATGCCCGCCAGAGAGAGAGAGAGAGAGAGACACATCTGATTAATTTAATATGGTCAAGGCTCGGCAAACATCATCAAAGAACGAACGTACGACTCACCGGTGTAACACTCCACAAGGCTTCATGACATGTTCGGTCTTAAATCGTTCAACCCTATCAACTGCTCGTTCCAGCAATGAATCCTCTCAGAATCTCTATCCGCTCAGTCTCAGGCTTTGCTCCTCCTCTCCGAATGCGTCGCGCCCTTCTTCGCCCTGGGCTTACGCCCCGGGACCGGCGCCGCGAAGTTGCCAGCGCTTCTGCGGAACCGCGTAAAGCGGGTCCGCCAAGCACTGCGTGCTCCTCGGCCGTAGAAGGTGAAGCGTGCAACGGGGGGTGCTTCAACAAGAAATCATTGATGTGACGCGGTGCCATCCATTTGTGGGCTTGTGAGGGGTATTTGGGGACGTGATTGTTTGTTCCATGATGATGTGGTTCTCTTTTCAACCCTACGGATCCATGTGGGTGGGCTGGCCCGTGCATGTGGCCCGTAAAGATGTTTAAGTGACTTAAGTGTTTTTGCAAAGTTGGCACTCCCAAGCCAAAAGATGCGTTGAACAAGTCAGCATTGAGCAGTTACACGTGTATACAACATGTGTAAGAGTTGCATGTTGACACCATTTTAGGAGATGTTAGCTTTTTGTCGAGGGACGGATTTGACCCGAACTGTTTGGGCTGGTTTTTGTGTCATTGTAAATCCCGGGTTAACCAGGTTTTTCCACCACAGGCTTGGGCGTAAAAATGGAATGGAGAGTCTTGGATTGGATGGCATTTCGGGATCTCAAGGATTTCACCATCACCACGCATCACCAATTGATCAAAACGGGAAGCAATACGGCCTGCCCCACTGATCATGTCTCTGAGTCTCAGGACCTGGTGGTGGGCTGCGACTTCCTGGCCATTTTGCACGGTGAAAAGCAATTAGCAATTTAAGCATAGACTTCGGCACAGCTGCCGCGCAGCGCGTGCCATCGCGTGCCCGTGTGGCGCTTCTGCCGAATAAAAAATAAACATGACATGCCTGTTTGCGGGAGAGCAGCGCTTTCTGGCAGATGGGCGGAAGGATGAGAACGACTCTTGGGACGGGGGTCAGACAGTGGGTCAGACATATAGAAACTTGCAACCCAAATGAAACATGCAAAGCAATGCCATGGACCTGCACTGGGCCGATGTGCCAATGTTTGATCCCCCACAACCCATCAAACCTGGAAGAACAGATGCTGGAAGTACCGGCCGATGGCCGTAAGAGTGACAAACTCTGGTGCTTTGAAGCAGGTACATTGCCCTCAGCAATTTCATTCGAGGGAGAGGGCGCTCTTCATTTTCAACTGCAGTTTGTTCATGTTCGTTTTTTCGTGCTTCGTGCTACAGCTCTCAGATGCACTTCCAGAAAGTTTAAGCAGTTCCCTTTGAGGTTGCGCCTGCGTTCGCCGCCTATGACAATTGGCGCGTTTTGTTTGACAAGTCTTGATGTTGCTGCATTGTAGACTTGTAGGATACATTCTTGTCAGGCACCCTTGCGGTACACTCTTGTCAGACAGTCTTGGGGAACACTCTTGTGGGACACTTTTGTATGACACTCACTCTTGTGGGACACTTGTATGACACACACTCTTGTGAGACACTCTTAAGTGACACTCTTGTGGGACACTCTTGTGGAACTCTCTTGTGGGACACTCTTGTGCGACAATCTTGTATGTCTCTCTTGTAGGACACTGTTGTGGGACGCTCTTGTAGGACACTCTTGTGGGATACTCTTGCGGGACACTCTTGTGGAAAGATCTTGTGGGACATTCTTGTGCGACTCTCTTGTATGTTACTCTTGTAGGACACTCTTGTGGGACGTCTCCAAAACTAGCGTTTCGCTCAAGACTTGCTCCAAAAGACACGTCAAGTCTGCAAAGCGAGCATTTCGTTCGAGACTTAGACTTCTTCCAATATTCACCCGTCAAGACTCCAGAACGAGCGTTTTGTACGAGACGTGGTCCATGCGTCAAGTCCGCAAAACTCTATAGCGTTTCGTACGGGACTTCTTCCAAAAGTCACACGTCAAAGTCTCAAAGCGAGTGTTTCGTACGAGACGAGACGTCCTTCCTTCAAAAGTGAAGCGGGAAGTCTTATCAGAGACAACTGATTCCGCAGCCCTGCCACTCACCTTCGCAATCCCAGCCCCTCAAGACCACAACCGCTGACACGCGAATCCCAATGTCACAGCGAACTTCGACTCCACCAACCATCGTAACCTCACGATTCCCTGCGCCTGCCACGAAAATTTAACTTCGACACCTGCACCTCTAACACGCACAAAGTACTTTGCCAGGAAAAGCGACGACATGACCTGCTCAATCATGTTCGTGTCTTCAGCAAATTTTGCACCACGCCACACGTTTGGGATGATTTCGACACGTCCTGAGCACACTCCCATCCACCAAAATCGCAATTTTTAGCTGTGTCACGAAAACACAGCTTCGACTCAACAACAAAAACACCACCCTCTAAACGCAAATCTCAGTGTGACTGCGAAGAAGACTGCAGATCTCACAAAGCTGCACCTGCGCAGTGGAAATAATGATCCTCCACACTTCAAAATGTTGCGTTTCCACACAATTCCACCCATTTCCTCGCTACTACACGAATTTGACACGTCATGCTTCCATCCCAAACCCTCTCCAAAAGCTTCCCCCAGTGTCCGCGCCATAGCGCAACACTGCGGACGGTTGACAGCGGTTGCGAACGCTACGACAACGAGTCGCGAACAAGACTCTACCTCCAGACCCCCAGAGATAAACGAGAACCCTTCGTTACGCATTCGGGAAAAACCAAGGCAGAGAGCACTTTTGACACAACCTTTCACTAAAACTCAGCCCTGGACGGTAGATGTCAATGCCTTCCAATGATATGGCTTTCCCACTTTTGGGCACAACCGTCCACTAAAGCCTATATGGATAGTAAGTGCCATTGCCTCTCCATGTCCTTCCCCCTTTTGCCTGCGCTATTGGCACACGTATGGTTCTTGTCTGTCCTTACCACACTATTGTTTCACTTTTGAGCAACACTCTGATGGCTTTCCCACCAGAACTTGGAAATAGTGGGGGAATGCGGTGTTTTTGCAATTGATTAGTTGACAGAACTTATATACAGTTTTGCAAATGTTCTGAACACCTTTTCACTTTTTGGGGCACCCCTCAACCACTCCGAAGGTCCAGGCAATGTGAGTGCCCTGTGTCCAAGTCAAGTCAAGCCTAACAAAATCCCGTTGGAAACCCCAACTGTTTCTCATACAGTACATTTCCCTCGTGTGAATTTAGTCAGGTTCTTACCGGTTCCACAATGAAGAAGTACTCTATGAAAAAGCTTGGAACGCGATTTACAGAAAACAAAACCAAGTGTCGAGAGTTCCTTTTTGGCCGTGCAGCGCTCCAATCTTTTGAAGGGACATTTGTTGTGTTTGTCGGCCGCGTTCGGCCACTGGTTTGATGGGTCTTTTCGCCACATTACGCGGCTGCTGTGTCACGATTGCTTCTAGAGTCTAGAGTCCTTTTCCACTGTGAATTGTACCTTGCTTTACCTGCACCTTGACATGCACAAGCATCCCTTATTCAAGGCAGTGTTTGTATTGTTTTTAACAACTCGGCTTTGTGCAAACAAACATGGTAACCATTCCGACAAACATGGCTTAGTATTCGTTTTTCCTCCTGGGAGCAGAAAAAACGTAAAAGTCCCTGTTCTTGCTACTAGTGCAGGTTCGAAGTGTTCTTAACAGGTTACGGTTCACGCTTCACACACGAAAACAAGTATAGCAGAGTTGCTTGAGTTTTCAGCGTGCAGGGCAGAGTATCCCTTGGGTCGAATGGGCCAGAAGAACAGCGAGGACGTACCGTAAACCTTATGAAATGTTAACCCAAGTACTTGATCTATAGTTATTGATAATAAAAACTGAATGTCAGTTCAGTGTGCGGCGCAGCGAGGCAGTTGTTCAAGGTCCGTAGGGTCTCCCTCGATGTTTTGTGGTTCTGTTGTTTTTGTGTGTGGTTGGGTCTTGAAAGCACTTAGATTTGCAAGGGGTCATCATGATCATGACGACCAACTCAAGGCGCCTTTTGATTTGATCCGGGCAGAGCAGCTGGGACATGGCCAATAGTTCCGCCAGACAGCCGGGCGCATGTATAAAGCAAGGGTGTTGAAGACCGGTGTGCTCGCAAAGCTGAAGAAATTATGTTTCCTCAGTTTCTTTTTTTTGGAGATGCATCCACACAGGCTCGGAAAAGCACTCCAGGGTCCGTGGAGTTTCTGCACCCACGGATAGCTTTATATATCTATAGTCTACATATAAACCAACCTCAGCTTCATTAAAAAATGCGTTTCCTTCGTAATGCGGAGATTCCCTCCGTTAAGAACATGAGTGCGGTTCGATGGTTTTGATTGCTGTCATGGCAACCCCTAGCATGACGATTGTAGTAGCCACTGCTGGAAGCGGCCTTGATGCTCCTGCCCAGCACTGCTGCTGGATGTTTTCGCCCCGAGGGCAAGTTCTACACCGAAGTAAGTGGGAGGTCCAAACAAACGTGAACAATGATAGTGAGTGAATACCTTTGACATTCTCACCGGAGGCACCCCCAAGGGCACCTTTTATATGGGCAATCATGGCCGTTTAATGAATCATTCGGAGGGCCAGAATTCAATTCCGGATTCTCCTTTGCAGGAAGGCTTTGATTTGAACAAGCTTTGGGAGCCTGGTGTTCTCACCCTCCGTATCGCAACACTTCGTTGCCTTGCACAGCCTCGGCTTCCATTGTGTGTTAGGTCTCCGGCATTTCACCTGATCAACGTGAGAGATTGGTTTGTGCTATGTGAATGTTTCAGCCTGCCGGGAACTCACATTAATGGATACTGAGAAGCCCATGAGGGACAAGGTCCCGCGGATTGGGGCCTTCAGTCGCAGCTCTGAGGAAAAGCAGCCAGTTTTTAGCAGAAGAAGCACTTTTTTTTGCGCCCTGAGAGAGGCAGAGCCGGCAGAGCTGTCTGTCACGGGGTTCTTGTGCTGCACGATGGTGCTGTTATAGGAACTCAATTTGTTATGAGTAGTCACTGCAGCTGAAGAAAGCCAACAAGCCTAGCCCACAGATTGAGAACACGACCGAATTGTAGAGCAGACAATTTGCCGTTGGGAGGAGCCGCTCCCGCTCAGCTAGTTTCTTCTTAAAACATGTTTGGCAGGTATCTAATTGTCCGGATGCACACAACCCAATACAATCAAAAAGAGCCTTGGACACCTGAAAGGAGAGCTGTAGAGGGATCCACAACTTTCACTTTCGCACCTGCAGGAAATTGCCACTCAGCAGACCCATAGTATGTCCGTAGGACTGTCAATGTGTTCCTATACAATCCGCTCTTTAGATATATATAGGCCCTTGAACAATCCTGTCCCCATGGGCGTCCAATGCACTGCCGAGGCGGCTTACCATCGGTAGCGCCCCGCTGGGCTGGGGCTGTGTGTGTGAAGGAGCTTTAGGCTCAGCAAAGATAGACAACCAATGTTCACAGATGTTCACGAGTACTTAGACTGCACGTGACTGACGTTGAGGGTATCTTTTGTAAACTGCTGAATGTTGCTCAGCTCCTAGAACCCCATCCCTTGTACACAATGCTGCCGGGCATTGAACAGGTCAGTTTGGTACAGTAGCTGAATGCCCTCTCAAGCCTCTCAAGGAGTTTTCCTCCGGCTTTTGTGTGGTCTTCAGGAGGCTTCAGGGCCTGGGGCAGCTTGTGCCAGATTAGTGGCCTCAACTCCCGACGACGAGGTAGCATCGTTGGGTTTTTGGGGTCAGATCTTGAGACATGCACCCACAAACATGCAGCTGTGTTCAAGAACAGCGCACCAAGACACCGCGTTTGTTTCCGAATGTTGGACAATCCTTGTTTTTGATATTCTCAGGTGGGGCCGGTGGGCTGCTACCCGACCTGGCCGAGACAAAACACAGGAGTCACGCAGAGTGCGCCATGCACCGCAGCAGTGGGCTCCGCTTGCACGGCAGCGGTGCTGGGTGCCATGGCAGGTTGCCTGGCCAAAGGTGGGAAGAGGTAAGGCTGGTGTCGGTAAAGACGTGGGGTGTGTTGAAATATATGGAGACCTCCAGCCAGACCCGTAGGATAAGGGACATATTGGTTCAGCCTAAGAACACAAAGTCAGACTAGGGTTCATATCATGAAACGATCAATTGCCTATGATTTGAGTGTTGTTTGGGTATGGGAACTGGGCAAATCTTGATATGTTGAGGTTCCCACCTGCAACTGCGTAGGATGCCAGTTCCCTGGGTTCACTCTCACACGTACTTATTCCATGCTTTGGCAACAAGACCAAAGCCAAGCAAACGGTACAAAACAGTGTGGTTTGTAATGTTGGTTTTTGACCATCCCACATTTGAGTGCCAAATCCCACATCTGGGTGCCAAAAGCCTTCGGTCATAACATTCTGAGATAAGCGTCGAAGCGTCGAAGCGGCCAGAGATTCGGATCTTGGATCAGGTCGAAGGAACATCTGACCTGAAGGTCACCAATTGTTGAGGGTTCCCCTAGTTTTGAAAACACACACATTGTCACAGTGTGCAGATAATTGCAGATCGATGTGTTGAGATGCCAGTCTCCTGGCTCTTATAGGGAAGGACAACTCGAGGAACAGGTGGACATGGACTCAATGCACTTGCTACACGTGGAGAAGTGGAGTGGAAACGTAGGGAAAAGGGAGGTAGCACGAGGAAAACTTACATCAGGAGAAACAGATTTGTATATAGCCTATAGCACCTGCCACATATTTCAAAGGCACTCAAAAGGTCCGGAGACAAGACTTACAAAGGGGATCTATATAGAACAATCAGGACACTGATTTCAAGCAGGTTTTTGGCATGACGAAAGTAGAATATAGGGAGAAGCACAGGACAGTAGGGATCTAGACAACTGGACCTAGAAGTGAGTTGCATTGGAGTATGGAAGGCCACCACATGTATTGCAGAAGCTAGTAGCATATAGGAACAGACCAATGGGACACTGGAAATCACAGTGACCTACCATTCCTTTCTCTCTAAACCGAATCCGCTGAAAGCCAAAGGAGAAGCAAATCAAACAGGTCTAGGTCACTCCACCACCCCGACCCGAGAACATGCTTTGCTCAGAACTGAAGACCCTGGAGTGGCCCAGTTCCCCGTGCAGCTCGCAGCTTCAGGGGTTTCATGACTGGGCTGAAAGCTGTCCGCACTGCCGGTGCCTCAAGCGAAGCCGACAACTTGGGCTTCCCACAAAGTAAGCTGACTTGACCAGTCGTGGACCCAGGAACAGGACCAGTCATGGCTTCCAGGTGTTTTCAGTGCTCGCAGCACGGCTTACGGATTCCTCCGTGACCCTTGAGGCGCGGAAACGGCCGGCCCTGAGTGCCAGCGAGTGAGAGCCCAGGGGGACGAGAAGTCAGAGGGACGAGAGTTGCAGCACGTTTGTAGCAATATCCTCGATGAAATCGGTGTGAACCCGGCATATATGGTGATTTTGGTATTGTATGTGCTTCAGGGGGGGCTCGGGCCCCGATTTTATAGACCGACTGGTGTTAGCATGTGTCGGCATCTAAATATGGTATTCCTAAAAAGGGGGTCAGGAGTAGTGATTTTATAGACGGTTCAGCGACTTGAGGTTTTAGAGCCTCGGAGTCGAAAGTAACGTCTTTTTTACCTCTACTTGTTATGTGCGAACGCAACAAAGTTCAAGGAACATCGACCGTGTTTTTTAAATAAGTATAAATAAGTTAATAAGGGGACATGCTTCGCAACGCAGGTTGGTTTGTCATTTTGGGTTGTTGACCTCCTGGCTTGCAACCGTGTACAGTAAAGTTGAAAGACCTTTGTGAACCACAAAAATCCGGGCCGGGCTGGGCTGGGTGTCTTTTCTCTTCCATCATATTCTATATCCAGCTCGGAGTTCATCACCTGGTCGGTCATACTTTGCTACCTGCCACATCCAGCCCAGGTTGACCGAACAATTGAAGCGGCTTTGGGACCACTACAGCATCCCAGAGGTCCACAGGCCGTGAAACGTCGGGGAACAGTCATGGCCAGCGCAGCTCGTCCATGGCCGGCCAACCACATGGAACCTCTTCGGCGCAGCAAGTCCTGTCGACGCATTGGATGGGCAAGTCCTAGACGCCTGAGAGCAATCCGAGAACTCTTTTTCAAGATACGTCCGGACTTGACGCAACACATAGCCTGTAAATGTCGGGCGAGTGCTATGCGTTGGTTTTCTTTTTCGGGTCATATCACAATCGTTTGGCACAGTTATGTGAGGCGCAGCAACATGACAAGCTGGGTTGCAAAGACCCTTGAAAAGAGGAAACATGAGGAAACTGACACTGCTTTCCTATTTATTCACGATAGGCTTGCGCAGCTAGTGCAAATTTGTGACCTTTTCACCCATGAATCCAATTTTAGGCACCATGCAGAACTCGTCACAAGAGTAGCTCGTGATTGCTTGCACTGGGCGGATTTTACCACATCATCACCTTTGTGAGGCAGCTTTACTTGAAGCGCTACTGCTCTGGGAAGTATCAGAGCGATGTTTTGCTCAAAGAGGTGCGATTTGCATTTTTGGGCGTCGCCTGGCTTTCTGTTTCGTTCTTCTTTGCAGCCTCATGTTTTGCAGCTTGCCTGGGTTCCTCTGTGCTTACAGGGAAGCCCTGTGTTCGGCAATAAGGTCGGTTCTGAGGCGATGACAACCATCTGACAACACGTCTCAGCCGGGAGTGTTGGGGAGTCGGGGAAGGAGCGCGAATGTGCTCGCGCATCGAGCGGCAGCTCGCTTTGGCAGGTTCAGTCTTTGGTGCGTGGCAGAGCCTTGGCGGGGCCTCCCAGCTGGTTCCAGGCCCCAGGCCTGGAAAGGCCCCAGGGTGTGGTGAATAAGGTCATGGAACTCATGAGTGAACTCATGTTGTTGCGATTCCTCTAAGCTGGTTCATCGTATTTCATCGTATTTCATCGTACATGCTGTTTCAATTCAAGAGTGTGAAATTGTTGCCGTTTCAAGGATAGTTGTCTCTTGATCGTGTGTTATTTTTTTGCCTGGCAGACATTGTTTAACTTTTCCAAGTTTTGTCGGATTTGAGTTCGTTTGTGAGTTCAGATCTGTGAAGTTTCAGCATTGAGCAAGAACTATCAACCACGCTGTCAGACGTTTTTAGGCTGGCTATGGTCAGGATGTTCTCCTTCCAAAATGAGATCGACTAGTTCAGCAAGTTCCGTTACAGCAGACTCAATGTTTTTGATAAACACGCGAAGACCCGTCACCAGTCGAAATTGCATACAGCATTGTGGGATCATTATGGGCTTAATATGTGCCCTGCGCTGGTATCAAATCCACAGTGGCATGTTTGTTTTCCTAAAGGGACGATTAAAGGACTGTAGTTTTGCGAAGCCGTGTGAATTTACACTAAGCGGAGTTTGCAGGCTCTTAGATTGTTTTAGATCATGTTGCATCATAGGGCCAAGTAACTTGGAATGCTTTGCTTCTGAGGCTTTCTAAGGCAGTCTCGGGGGATGCATTTAACGTCGGTGAGAAGTGTAGATGGATCCACTCGTGCGACAAGAAGCTGCATACCGACGGCCAAATCACCCTGGAACTCCCTGATGTCGAGGTCCAACGGCTTATGAATGCCATCGAGGCTCGAGAAGAGGTGCTCTTGACCGACGCGCTCCAGGAAAAAGATTTGGAACGAACAGTCCCAGGCTCCCAGGTGCGGTGAACAGTGAAAAGAAGTTGAGACCTTCGGAACGACATTTCCCGATCTCGACGCATCTCAAAGCATCTGGGCACCGATGGGCACCGATGGGCTCCGTCAGGTGCTCTTGCGGCTGAGCGTCTTGCGGAGCGCCTTTGCAGACCTTGAGCTTCGGACACCTGGCTCCTTGGGTAGGCGACCAGGGCGACCTTGAGACATGACTGGGGCTGGCTGGAACTCTTGGGTCCGATGTCTTGTGCGAGACGAGGAGGTGCACGTGTTGTACTGGATTTGGGGGGTAGAACTGTAGAGCAGGCTTGGTTGGCTGTTCGAAACCGTTTCTACTCTCCCTGGAACTAGGAAAACCACCTGTTTGTAGTGGAAAATGCTCTTCCAAGGGGCCGTTCTCCACTTCCATGTTAGTTCCAGGGAGTGTAAGAGGCTTTAAGTCCACACCATGATGGCTCCAGGACCTCAGAACCATCCGTTGGTGGTGTCCAGTGGGATTTACTTGGATATACGTACTTTAATATTGATAGGGTCGGGTAATTCGTTGATTTGTGACCCCTTGGATGGTCCCGACTGCAGTTGAAGAGCAACCTGAAAGAGGACCTCTCCCTGGCTTCATTCATGCCATCCCACTTGGGGCTGCGAACCGGTTTGACCGTAGGTGCCAGCTCTCTGAACAGCTCTACTGCTTGCGAATGAGCACTGCAGAGGCAAATCCCTTTGCAAGAATTGAGCTGGTTTGTCGATGCATGGGCCGCTGCGGAACTGTTAGTTTGTTGCGTTGCTCATGATCATGATTGTCCTACTCTAAAAGGTTCTCTCTCGCTCTCTCTTTATAATATATATATACTTTATAAGTAAATATATATATATATGCATTATATAAATATATATATATATCCATAATAAGTATATAACAGAGACTCGTTCAACATTGGCCGGCGGATGACGACGTCAAACATAATTCTGGGAGCTAGCAACCAACAACATTGGCCAAGCATGTTCACTCACATGTGTGGTCCCGGATTCAATACCCAGATGGGCCCGCCCGGCCGACACCGCCTCTTGACTGTTAACTGACAGTCGGAGCGATTTGGTCGTCCAGTTTGGACGATGGGGTGCTGGGAAGGGTTGAAACGGAGATGAGATGTTTGTGTTTGTGAGATGCTTGCTTGCACATGGGGGCTACGAACAAGTTTCGCTCAGGCACTCAGCAGGTTGCCCTTGTTCCATTTGTTTCCCCTCTAGTGGTTGCAAGGTGTAGGATCACATGAAGTGGTTTTGCGGAGTATTGAACACTGTTCCACACCGAGTTTCAATCTTTCAGCTGCATTGGAGTGAACATAGTAAACTTCCGGCTCTGGAGCAACTCCGAGATGTTCCCTTCCATATCTCTCCAGGCCACCAAGCTCTTTGCTACTATATAGTAGCTTCCTGTTACTAGTAACAAGTGTATGGCTTCTAGTAGCCAGGGCAATACTACTAGTAACAAGAAGCTACTAGTAGTAATGCACTTGTCACTGTCACTTGTTGCTCATAGCTTCTTCTCCAGGCCATCAAGCTCTTGCATGCGTGGCGGGTCTCCGTAGCCCCAGTGGCCAGCTGGGGTGCCCAGAGAGGCGGTGCTCGGTGAACGTGGGACCAGAAAGCAATGCACCGAAGTTTGAGTGAGATGAGATGTGGATGGGTGGTTCGGTGAGGCTTCTAAATGAAAGGATTGTACCGCAATATGTGTAAACGTAATGCAATGCAATGCAATGCAAAGCAAGGCAAGGCAAGGCATGTATGTATGTATGTATGTATTGTATGCGAGTAGGCAATGTAGTAATGTAATGTAATGTAATGTAATGTAATGTAATGTAATGTAATGT